TTCTCTCTCTCTCTCTGGCCAAATTGAAAAATAATAACAAATGGAATTAAATAAATAAATAATTCCTTTAAAAAAACAAAAACAAAAAGACTGCGACTAACGCAAAGATAGACCACAATCTCTACCCTGGCAATAAGGCCAAGCTACGCATGCTCTGAAGGCCACTGTAGTCATTGTAGCCTGTGTCTATAAACCTCGTCACAGGTTATGTGGAGAAATGCGGACTGTGACGTTGAGCCCTCAGATCCACACTTTCTAAAAGGCTGAGAAGGACTGGTTTCGGGAAGCATCTTTTTTTTTTTTCCCTCCTGACTTCACAGAGTCATGAGATTTGAGCAACATTAAGCAAATCTCTGCAGAATCTTCCTACATTGATATACACTGAGGGCCTACAAGAACGGGAAGAAGAAGGTGGCGTTCCCATTATACAGGCCTCCTTTCTTGGGGCCCTTGCCCCCGGCTACACCTCTTGGAATCGTGTCCTACGGGACGCCCGCTGGGGAAACAGTGGTATGGTGACTGCCTGTGATTACAGCTATGGAGGGTGGTAGAAACGTTAGCAGAGGATCCACCCCTCAGCGGGAGAAGGCGTTGACCAGAAAGGCATTTTCTCTTTCAATACCAGCAATTTTAAGGTGAAGTCTTGAAAGACTAAAAGAAAGGGAAGATCTAGACTATTCCCTGCTTTTTCCTACTGTACCTAATCCCTAGCACCAAGCTATCTGTACGGGGAGGAAGAGGAGGAGGAGTGGGAAGGAGGGGATGCTGACGATGAAGATGGTGATGGTGGTGGTGCTGATGGTAAAGATGAGGGTGGTGGTGCTGATGCTCGTGGCCTGGCTCACAGGGTGAAGGTGACGGTGGTAGTTATGGTCATGGCAGGTCGTTCCTGAGCACTCGCATTCCAGACACCGTTCTCAGTCGGTTACATACGTCGCCTCAGTCCATCCCCACTCTGTGCTGCACGTACCCTTGTCTCCATTTAGAAATGAGAAAACCGGGGACCAGCAGATGTGTGATGCTTACACGGCTGGACTCCCACATAGTTGACCGCAATTCGAGTTCCAGACCCGGTGACTTAAAACTCACGCTGGGCTCGTGTGCGTGCATGCCCAAGATCCTTAGAAGAGAATGGAGGAGAAGGGGTCAGGGTGTGGCCATCCGCTCCCTCCCGGGGCATGATTTCTGACTTTCTGTCTCTCTGTCTCTCTCTGTCGCTTCAGCAAGTGTCCACACCCTACAGCA